ACGCTGAGGGTACAGTCACTATTCGCATATTTAATGCTAATCCCACCCATATTACACTACCAAAAATACCCAAGTAGCCACAGCGACGGTAGTGGGAATCAACGCTCCTTGGGAACCCATTTTTTCGGTATGTACGGATAACTGTCCCAACCAAAATCAAATACTCGAGTACGTTCCATCCGAGGCGGATTTTGCAAGGGACCTACCATTCTTCTCAGAACCTTCAGATCCCCTTCTAGTTTACAATCGCGTTACACTACATTCGTCCGTTTTGAAAACAGAAAACTCCAACAATTCCAACGACTCCTTCGTGACTACAGTGACTGTTTTGTAGGTAATAATGGACACCTAGGTCTTTACTACGTCCTATCACTCACAATATCAATTTTGTACCCCATCCAAAGATACCGAAGCAACATCCTTGCCGGGTACCCTTAGAGAAACGCCAGAAAATAGAACGTCAGATAAAGCAAATGTTACGAACAAATCTTATAGAACCAACTACTAGCAAATTTGCGTCTCCAATAGTTCTTGTTAAGAAAGGCCGTAATAAGGAACAATGGAGCTTCACAGTAGACTAAAATATTTAGGGGTCCTTATTAGTAAAAGTGGTACTCGACCACATCCTGATAAGGTAATTATTATAGTATAGCCAATATGCCACGCCTGAATGCCGCTTCTTAGTTTCGTCGCTATATGGCATTTCCATTATTGCTACACCACTCCACAATTTCATGCTTAAAAAGCCCCGTTTGATTGGACAGATGCTCATAATCAAGCGTTCAGTGCGCTGAAAAAAGCGCTTGTGGAGGCACCTTTTTTGATTTCTCCTACACTCGGACAGCCCTATATCCATCATACTGATGCGTCCACCATTGGGTTAAGCGCATGTCCCTTACAGACCAATGCACAAACCTAGGGAGAACAACCCGTTGCATATGCTAGTCGGTCTCTGATTTAACATAAGAAGAACTGTGCAGTTACTGTACTAGAGGCTTTAGCAATAAAGTTCGTGCTCAAACAATTTTACCTATATATAGCGAATGCGCGAATCACCCTCATCACGGATCATGCGCCCCTCAAACCGTTAATGCACAGATTCGGATTTGGTAGGACGCCTGGCGAAATATCAAATAACAATCCAATCTTACGATCTAACAATCGAGTACCGCGCAGGGAAGCATAATACATTCTGCCATTATTTGACCAGACTTCCCCGACCGAACGTGAATTCCTGATGCAATCTTTTCCGTCTCTCGAAAAAATTCAAGAGAGTCAGAGAAACTCAAAATGTGGTCTCGTATTGAGATTTCTCACTAACGATCTTGTGGAACTTCCTCAAGAGGTTGAGAACACCATTAAACGGTTCTCTATCTACAACACGTAACGGCATACACAAACTTATGTCCAGTACGCCAAAAGGGTAAAACACCCCCAACTCACATTATTCGTGAACGAATGGGAGATTGCCCAACTCCACAACGGCAGCTCGAACGAATTCACACAGATGTCATTGGACCTCTACCGCAATGTATGGATGGAAGTAAGTTTATAACAATATCATTATGCGCTTTTAGTAAAATCGTGATATGTACTCCGCTATCAGAGCATACAACAGGATCAGCAATTGAACCTTTCATGGTGTTCCAAAAGAACTCGTCTCTGATCGTGGATCGAAATACTAGCGCAGTCTTTGCAAAAATCAATAAACCACTTGGAATTAGTAATTGTTTCATCACTAGTTATAACTGTAAGGCAAACGGACAAGCTGAGAGACTTGTCAAGGTAATAAATAACTCTCTCACAGCGCATTGCTCCGATGTTCGCGATTTATGGTCTGATTATTTATAACCCATTGTTTTTGCATGCAATTCCAGCATAAATAGAACTACAGCCAGGATATAGCCCATACTTCATCGTACGCGGAAGATTTCCAATAACATGGAGTGACCTTCTCCATGAACTTCCTTCCAATAGCTCGATGGCATCCGACGACTTTGCTGATCAATTTGCTACCAGCATGAAAAGCGTCATTATGGATGTCGGCAGGGAAATCGCTCTGAAGACGGCGCAGTACAAGCTTGGATACGACATTTCAACAAGGTATATTTGAAGGACATTTCCATTGGAAATCTCGTTCTTTAGCAAAACGACACGGTTCGTTCAAAACTTACTAACCAATGGAAAGGCTCTTCTATAATTAAAGGAGTCAGTCGTCCTAATGCGACTATTGAAAATCTAGTAGATGGCCCAATGCGACAAATTGTTCACATTGATCTCCTTAAGATTTATTCTTCGCGTTCTATGTCTGTTGATCCTTCCACCACAAACCAAACACCACCACTTTTACCACAAATCACGGAAGCATCAAACAATATAGAACAACCAATTATACATACGTCGTTCTCGTCGTCTTCAGGAAAAGCGAATTCATGTAACGCGTCATTACGAATAATGATAGAGACTATCAGGTCCAAAATAGTCTCTAGTGGTAAGTTTAGTCTCCTTTCTTCTTTTCGCCGCAATGTCGCAAATACTTCCAAAATACTTTGAATAGGCGGTTCAAAGAAAGCATTTTCGCAGCGTACTCACTCAATTCAATTACACCAAAAGTCATAATTACGCCCTTGTACTAGTCGACACTAGTGTGCCGTCAATAGACTAGTACTCGAATCACAGTATTTCCACTTTGTTCGTATATTNGTACAAGCTTGGATACGACATTTCAACAAGGTATATTTGAAGGACATTTCCATTGGAAATCTCGTTCTTTAGCAAAACGACACGGTTCGTTCAAAACTTACTAACCAATGGAAAGGCTCTTCTATAATTAAAGGAGTCAGTCGTCCTAATGCGACTATTGAAAATCTAGTAGATGGCCCAATGCGACAAATTGTTCACATTGATCTCCTTAAGATTTATTCTTCGCGTTCTATGTCTGTTGATCCTTCCACCACAAACCAAACACCACCACTTTTACCACAAATCACGGAAGCATCAAACAATATAGAACAACCAATTATACATACGTCGTTCTCGTCGTCTTCAGGAAAAGCGAATTCATGTAACGCGTCATTACGAATAATGATAGAGACTATCAGGTCCATAAATAGTCTCTAGTGGTAAGTTTAGTCTCCTTTCTTCTTTTCGCCGCAATGTCGCAAATACTTCCAAAATACTTTGAATAGGCGGTTCAAAGAAAGCATTTTCGCAGCGTACTCACTCAATTCAATTACACCAAAAGTCATAATTACGCCCTTGTACTAGTCGACACTAGTGTGCCGTCAATAGACTAGTACTCGAATCACAGTATTTCCACTTTGTTCGTATATTAGTCGCCCTAGGCTCAAATAGATTAATATTACGTATCACAATGGTGCTATTCGTTCAATATGACGAATAACACATACTCATGTTATCATCCTAGCATTATCAGTAGCTCTACGATTTCATATTCGCCTATGTTAATCGAAGAAAAAAGAGAAAAATGCCTATACCACATTTTCATGATCATAGTTATAATTGTATAATCAGTAGAAATCATGTTCACATTGTTTCCTTTGCTAGACATCAATTTACGATCATGAAGATGCCCCCCTCCACCCCCTTCTTCACTCCTTACCACTCCTGGCTCGAGGACGAGCCTATTTTTCAGAAGAATGGCGAAATGTAGCCGCAATCTATCGAAAACTATCTGTCCTAGCCGTTCCAATCTCACAATTCATTCTATTCAATGCGATGCATCCACCGACACAATTTTGGCCGCCTTTCCTTGCTTCCGACTTGACATTCTTCAATGTTCGTTTATGGCACAAATGTTGTACTATGCATCTCATCTGTTTTATGTAGCTTCACGCTTTATGAGAATGCCTCTGTCACACCGGAAGCACGATCGAAGCTCGAGGACGAGCTTATTGCAAGGAATGGAGATGTCGAGTCCTCCCTTCGCTACCACCTGTCGAGTCCTCGCTTCGCTACCGCCGCATCATGTGCTCGCCATCGATCACTTAAGCAACGTCGCACAAGACCGATATAAAAGCTACCGGTTCGAGACAGCCAGGTCGACTTACTCTGCTCCGCAGCCGTGGATTATCGCCCTGGCCGTATGGCCTCCTCGTCTTGACCCGTTCCCCCTGTTCTGTTTATAATGTTATATTAGTAATGAATATATATAGGCAAGAGTATTGTATCACAGAAGAACACCCGTTCCCGCTACACCATCAGATGTAGGCCTCGCGAACCTATAATCTGATAAACTCAAGTTAAAAATTATTGAAAGGGGATAAGAAATGAGAGGTGCTGTTGCCCTAAGAAAGGGAAGCGGAATAGCATACGGCATTGTTAGAAGAGCATTAGAAGGCCAATGCACCAAAATGTCTTCGATCTCTTCTTTATGATACCATAATCTGGGAGGCATTACAGATTGCTTAAAAGCTTACATAAGGGAGAGATTGTCAAAATTCTCAAACTTTCTCAATCCCCTGACTTCCTAAAAACAATCGAGATGAAGTCAAGATTTTTAATTTTCTGTCTACTAGCACATTTTCAGCATAATAGTATGGTAAATAAAAAAGTGGACGCAAAATTTCACAATGTAGTTGTCAGTCATGGTAGCAGAATTTTCAGTGAAATACCTTTTAATAGAATCTTCAGTTGGCGCTTCGTTAAAGACATTCTGTTAAGTAGCAATGAACAAGTTAAAGAGTTCTCTCCAATCCTACTTAAATAATCGGCTAAGTGTGTCTGTTGGTGTGTTTGTGTGTTTGTGTGTGTGTATGTGTGTGTGTCCGACCGGAAATTCATAACTCCTGTCCCCGTGGACCGAAAACGTTCAAATTTGGTAGGAGTACAGGCGGCAGGATGGGAACACTTTTAGTGGGTGGCAGGACCAGACTTCGCCTAAAGGGGGCGGGGTTCGTGAGAAATAAATGTTTGAGCGAAAATTCAGAACTCATGTCCCCGTGATCCTAAAGCGCTCAAACTCGGTAGGAGTACGGGAGGTGGGATGGGACCACTTTTAGTGGGTGGCAGGACCAGACTGCACCCACAATGGGCGGGTTTTGTGCAAAAATTCCTGGGGTTGTGAATTTTTGCGCAAACCCCGCCCATTGTGGGTGTAGTCTGGTCCTGCCACCCACTAGAAGTGGTCCCATCCCACCTCCCGTACTCCTACCGACACTTATGGTGGATGACACGACCCGGCTCCGCCTACAATGGGCGGAATTTGAGCAAAAATTCATAACCTCTGCCCCCGTGGACCTAGAGCGTTCAACTTTGGTAGGGGTTATGGGAACAGGATGGGAACACTCACTGTAGGTGGCAGGACCAGACTTCGCCCAAAGTGGGCGGGGATCGCGCGAAAATTGTCAATTTGGCTCTAGACCGTTCGAAGTTGGTAGGAGTACAGGCGACAATATGGAATCACTTAGCATAGGTGGCAGGAAAGGACCTCGCCCACAGGGGGCGGGGCTTGCGCGAAATTTGACAATTTGACCATAGGGCATTCAATGTATTTTAATTGCACGAAAATTTCACGGAGGGACGCTTCCTTAGCCCAACTGCCCTTTTTCCGTGAATAATCGCCTTCGTGATATTATGCGATGCTCTTACCTGACACAGCGAAGATGGCTTACAGAAAAAGCGCTCCCAATTCAGAGCCAATACTGAGGGTGTAGAGCTTTCGAGGAGAAAGGAGAATCCGAAAAGTAATTGCCATGGCAAATTTCTCACAGGAAGGAGAACCACCCGGCGAAGCCGGGCGATACCATAAGAAGGATGGAAGCCCTGCGTTAGTCGGGCGGCCCGATTGGTAAGAGTCATATATTAGTACCAGTTGAGCTACGCACGCCAATGCGTGCAACACATGCCTACGCTTACGCCTACGACTAAAAGTGTCAATCGGTTGCTCTTCATCTTGAAATTATGAACCATTTAAGGTTTAACTGATAGACAACCAAAGAATTGCGTAGTACTCACAAATGTTCCCAAGTGATAATAACACCATTATAAGGTTACATTATCGCTGGACCTTCTTTTCTCCACGGGAACATCATTAGTTGAAAATCTCAAATTATTGGCGGTCGGATGAGCTTTGTCGTAAAAGATATCAAAACATTAAGTAACCTTGATCTTCCATCGAGTTACAAACCTTGCTGGGTAGCG